CATTATGGTGGGAGTCAACACAATTTCTTTTGGTACAATACTTAAAACCAATTTTGAAATTTAATAGCTTGTGATGTTTTGCAGTTAAATTATGTTGTTGAGGCGTGCGTGTATTTAGCGATAAAAAGCATGTTAGTAGAATTTGCTAATTATTTCAGTGCATGATGGATACAATATTTGGAGGCCACTTAAATTTCATCACCTGCAACTGGCAAAAGCAGGTGAATTTGTAAGTTGGGGGGGGGATATGGTCCATTTCTGCCCCAGGGCCCAGTGTACAGTTGTTCTGCCACTGCCCAAGACATATATAGTGTGACAACAATGACAATATGATGATATTTAATCCTCCATTCAGTCCTCCTTTTACTTTTCAGTCTGGCAAATGAAGAAGAAGCTCTTGTTGAAAAATACCTTTTTTTTAAATGCCAAACTTTCATAAATAAAAGTATTTTTCACAAAAGGTTTTCATTCATCCAAACAATTTGGAATCCCTAATGTCCGATGACCTTTTATAGAACTAGTACAAGGAGACAAGCACTGTAGAAATTTTTTAAAAATTCAGATGTGAGGATTGTTTTACACACAATGGACAGGTGAATACGTAGCTATACAATAGTGGCCGGGACAAGTTATGAAGTAGTACTTAATAGCTTGGACTAAAAGTGACTATCAAACACCCTCCCTTAAGCAATTCATGAACCTCATTTATTAATTCCTCTCTTTGCAATGGCATGGTGTAGGAACAATTAACAGACAAACACTATGTGGACAAAAGTATTGGGACACGTGGCCATTACGCCCACAGGAACTTTTATGACATCCTATTCTAATTCTATAGTCAATAATATGGAATTCCCACCTTGGCAGCCACTCTTCTGGGAAGGCCTTCCACAAGATTTTGGAGTGTGTCTGTGGAAATTTTCCCATTCATACAGAGGAGCATTTGTGAGGTCAGACATTGATGCTGGACATGAAAGCCTGGCTCTCAATCTCCGTTTTAGTTCATCCAAAAGGTGCTCAAAGTTCAAGGTGTTTGAGGTGTTCAAGTTCTTCCACGTCTTTATGAACCTTGCTTTGTGCCCTGGGGCACAGTCATGCTGGTACAGAAAAGGGCATTCCCCAAACTGTTCTCACAAAACTGGATGTGTAGAATTGTCCAAAATGTCTTTAAGAGATCTCTTCACTGGAACTAAGGGGCCTAGCCCACCCCCCTGAAAAACAACTGCATACCATTATCCCTCCTCTGCAAAACTTTACAGTTGGCACAATGCAGTCAAGCAGGTAATGTTCTCCTGGCATCTGCAAACTCAGATTTGTCCATCAGACTGCAAAACAGAGAAGCGTTATTTGTCACTCCACAGAACACGTTTCCACTGCTCCAGAGTCCAGTGGCGGCGTGCTTTACACCACTGAATCCAACACTTGGTACAGTACATCCAACAGTGTATCATCACAATGAGCATTTCCATGTGAAGCCAAATAAATAAAACAGTTCAAAAAATGTCTGACAAGGTATTTTGCAAAACAAAACCTTTAGTTGATCAAAAGTTCTTCAGTGAAGCAAAATATTTTTTGCTTCACCTCACCTTCTGTTTGGTAGGTGTTTCAATAGTTATAGAATATGACACATTTTTAAATGCTCCTAGTGAAACAGACATTCTCCGTAGTAGAGGATGAGGGATTTTCATTGGTTTAATCTGGCATGCAGATTAATTTTTTTATTTTCCAGAAAATTAAACTGTAAGGTTGCCAACTTTGGTGAACTGGCTGGAGTGAGATTTTCAATTCAAGAGATGGTTCCACACATATTTACAAGTATGTAACGGTTTTATTACCTTTTAAATAGGCTGTAAGGTTTGCAAACTGCCCTAGTGCTTTTGATGTAGCTACTTTCAGGTTTGTAAAGGAATAATATAGATTTGACGTAAGATTTCTTGTGTGAGTGTGTGAGTCTGATAGTGTGCGTGTCATGCCAGATACATGACAGTTGGCAACTCTGTGTATTATCTTGCTGCTAATCTGCACAGGCAAGCTTAGCAAGTTAGGTGAGTAGCATGAGTTACCATGATGATGTATCCCGATAAGCAGTAAACCAGCATTGTGATATCAGCAAGCTAGAGTTACCTCTACTTCGGCTAAACAAGAAATCCAGTCTTGTGATACAGCCCCCTTCCTCCATGTTTATGTTCTCTGTTTTGCTTAGATATTCGAATCATCATAGCCTAGCAGAAATCTAAGGCATCCTTCCTCTGCAACTTCCTATGAACCTGGGGGGTATTCCATGAAAGTAGCTAAAGAAAGCCAGACTTTCCCAAAAAAGTCAGACTCAAACTAGCACCATCTCTAAACTTAGCCTCATGTCGTTCCGCTAACACAGTTCAGCTTTAATTAATCAAGGCACATACAAGACAGACATGCATAGTCTCAGTTACTGCACAAACCCAAGATTTTAAAGAGGCTCAAATGAATAGATGAACGACAGATTGATCAAATGAGTCGGAAAGTGGGACTGCTCATTCATTTCTATGGGAAAAATGCTAACGCTACTATGAAAACCTTAACCCCTACCTAGCCCTAACCATAACCATAAGTAACCAAGCAAAATACAAGAGTTTTTGCATTTTTAGTTTTTTGATTGCAGTCACAGATTCTTATTAAATTGAGTTTTCTTTTATGAGGCCCAGGAAACTGGACCCCATAAGGGATAAAAACGGATATTCATCACATTGTTGGGACACCACCACTGAACTCTAGAGCAATGGAGATGTGTTCTCTGGAGAGATGAATCATGCTTCTCTGTCTGGCAATCCGATGGACAAGTCTGAATTTGGTGGTTGCCAGGAGAACGGTACTTGCCTGACTATATTGTGCCAAGTGTAACATTTGGTGGAGGGGGGGTTGTGGTGTGGGGTTGTTTTTCAGGGGTTGGGCTTGGCCCCTTAGTTCCAGTGAAAGGAACTCTTAATGCTGCAGCATTCAAAGCCATCCATCCATCCATTTTCCAAACCGCTTATCCTTCTGGGTCGCAGGGGGTCCGTAGCTATTTCATGCTCTTAACTTTGTGGGAACAGTTTGGGGATGGCCTCTTCCTGATCCAACATGACTGCGCACCAGTGCACAAAGCAAGGTCCATAAGGACATGGACGAGCAAGTCTGGTGTGGAGGAACTTGACTGGCCTGCACAGAGCCCTGACCTCAACCTGACAGAACACGTTTGGGATGAATTAGAGCAGAGACTGTGAGCCAGGCCTTCTCGTCCAACATCAGTGCCTGACCTCACAAATGCTGCCCCAGATGAATGGTCAAAAATTCCCAAAAACACACTCCTAAACCTTGTGGACAGCCTTCCCAGAAGAGTTGAAGCTGTTATAGCTGCAAAGGGTGGGCCAGCTCCATATTAAAGCCTATGTACTAAGAATGGGATGCCATTAAAGTTCATGTGTGTAAAGGCAGGTTCCCCGATACTTTTGAGAATATAGTGTATGTTACTGCTCCATGGGCGTCGCCACCATTAAATCTGAGGGGGACGTGTGTCCCCTCACATTTCATAATTATTCATTTGGACCCCCCCCCACATTTTACATAAAGTATTAGTTTTATGCCAGTGTGTCCCCCCCACACATTAAAAATGCTTCTGAGGCCCCTGCTGCTCTGTTCATTGTCTGCAGTTTATTTTGGAATCACCAGTTTTACGGTTCTGTCTTAAATCAGTTTTCCATTGTTATTCTGTTAGTTTGTTGTCATTTTTTATTTTATTATTATTATTTTTGCTTTTCCTGGTTTTTGTTTTATCTTGATCATACGTTTATGTGTACAGCACTTTGTGTCCCCTTGCCTGTGAAAGACACACAAGTAAATTTTACTTACTTAACAAAATTTCATTGTATTGCAGTATAACAACAATAAAGCTCTCTTATCTTATCCTATAAACAAATACTTATTAGTAAATGCAGAATATCACATGAACATTTAATAAAATTAGACATTTTGCTAAATGTGAAGATATTTAACAGAATTGATAAATTAAATTGCAAACGTTATGTATTAAATTTATAAAAATACAGTGGCATAATTTTAAGTAGTCCTACTCTGCACGTACATACACACATATACACACGCAAACACATATTAAAGATTGAGTGGCTTCATAAATTTAAATTCAACACAACCACTTCCAACTTTTGACTTCGGAATATTTCTGCGGTAGAAGGGTACAATTTGCACATTAAATAATACTAATATATCGTAAAAACGTAACATTGCGCAATAATGAAGAAATTACTCATTTTGGAACTAAAAATAATAAATAGTAGACGTATATTTAGTTATATTGTAGCCTATAGTAGTTATACAGTATATAGTAGACGTATATTGTCAATTTATATCTACAATGCACTCTATGAAGAATGTATTCTTCACTGTTGGTTTTCCCGAATAGGCTACTTCGGTTTCTTTAGGATGTCTGGTTGAATTTTTATGAAGATGAACTTGTTATTACATGGTGTTCATCTCATCTCTCCACTCTCGGATTGATGTGTTAACAGTTAGTTGAAAATTCTTCGAAAACGATGGTATGCGGATCGAAAGTTGACAATACAGTGTCGCTATGGTGCAAAGTTTCACTATAGTGGACTGCATGGCATCTGATTATGTAAGGTACCAGCCAGAACTAACATCACAGCAGAGATGTCGACTCACTACAAAATCTTCTTGTCTTACAAATCTACAGAAATTGAACTGAACTTCAGTTGCATCAAACAATGGAATTGATGTTTTAAAATTTAAGTAACGCGGATTATTTATGTGTATTTTATACTGTATTGCATTAGCCTATAATGTTATCTTTAATACCCGTTTTCAACAGTCAGAACTATTAACAGGTAAGAAAATAATGTGATGTAATATTTTAGGTTATATATGTAAGCAAATTTTGATCCCTCCTCCAGCCACATCCGCCCTCACTGGATTTGTTTAATATCCTGCTGCAAAACCTTGTTCTTTGCTACAGAGTCTGCTGGAGCTGTTAACCTTCCGTTATTCTAGGACCAGCATTTCTTATTGATGTTATACTGCCGGTTATGTAGCATTACGGGCTATTCGTTATACTGCAACTTAAAATAGTCCATTATGTGATTTGGAATCTTAGGTTGTTTAATACATTAGTACAATTTATGAACTTTAAACGGGAATTCTGATCTTTATGTTGTCTGGTAACTAATATTAAACACGACAGAGTCTTCGTTTAACTTGCATGATAAACTGGGGGAAGAGCTTTCACGTACTGGTTTTACTTACTATGCCTTACTGGTGCTGATGAGCATTGAATTACACCCACTGCGAACCCGTCGGATTAGAGGTGGCAGCTGGGCTTCGCTCGCTTTCTTCTTTAATGATCGTCTATAGTGAAACATTTTCCAGGAGAAGCTTATTAGACCATGGCGATTGATTGCACGTCAGTGAGATTAAGGCATGTGTTCGTTTGGTGTGCAATAGGTAAGTGTATTCTTCAAAATCGACTTCTGCAACTTTGGTTTTGTTGAAATTGTCTATTATCAGTTGGGATGCTGTCTTAGTATAGACGAATAACACGAACGAAAAACTAAAACATGATGAATTAAACATAAGGATAAACTGCAGGGTTCTCGGTAGTTGACATTGCTGTTTGACAGATTCATGATTCCTTAAATACAGTTTACGGAAATTGGTAACACCTGGTTAAACGGTATTTACTTTACTCTAACGTGCATCCCAAGCCCGAAGTTTATTAGATGTGCTTAAAGCATCCCAGATAACTAGTACCCGTTGTAATGAATGTTGCTCTTGTTTGTTTAGAATAAATGTGAAGAAAAAGTACTAGAGAAGGCAAGCGAAAGGCACTGACTGTTTCACGTGGGGCAATGCAGGAATGCGTCGGCTACAAAGAATGTTACTATATTCGTCACCATTTTTACCATACTACTACTAATAATATAGCATTGTTTAATATAATTTATAATGGAATACAGCCCTGATATATATATAATGAATTTATATATTCCTGAAAATAATAGTAGCTACAATTTTTCATTGTATTATACATCTACCCATCTTCTACTAAATTTTGCACTATAGTTACTGCAGGTCACAAAAACATGAATAAACAGTAGAACTGATGAACAATCAATATAATTGATGAAATAAGTATAGTCTGTCAGTATGACAGTACTGTAGCTGTGCGACATGATAGCATCTGGTTATATACAACATGTTGTTAAAGGGGTTGTGCTGGACTGCATTCTAGTATTATATACCTGTGTTATACATGCAAGTGCATAAAACTGGGAGATTGATTAGAAAAACATGACATTGTAAATGATGCTTCTGGAAGCCATAACTGTGATTGGAGGAGACACCATATGTTTACACATTTAATTTTATTTCAAATAAATAACAGCAAGTCAGGAATAACTGTATTTTGCCATGACACTACAAAACATCCAAAAATATCCGGTTGATTTTCACGTTAATGTTATTGAATTAATGTTGTAACATTGCAGCTCTGAAACATTTTAATAATTATTTTGAAAAGGCCACATGAATCATCTGCAGTCACTTATTGTGAAATCATCTGAACGCACACAAACACTTGACAATGATGGTTTAAAAGAGGTTCACAAAGTTAAATTAAACACAGCATGATAAAATTCTCACAGCTACCTTGCAATAATACCAGTCATTTACAAATAGGTTTTGTGAAATTTCATGAAACACTGGAAAAGGTGTTGAAATATTTGCACATCTCTGGTAAAAACACACTTTGCCTCAGTGATGGAGAAAAAGGCAATTAGATATAAAACATAAGGCTTGAAATTTAAGCTTCAAACATGCTTTGGTGTAGCGTTGGAACGCTATAGGTGGATGCATCACTGGCAGCTTGAGATCCAGCTATAAAATTTTAACAGTAATTTAAAAAGTTTTAAATAATGAATGAATTTTTAATGTAGTTTACCGACTATGTGCAATGGAGTATTTTTCACAGATATTTTACCTATGTTTTGGAATTTTCATTTGGCTTTTCTGTAAAACACCTTTTTAGTATTACAACTTCATCCCAAACTAAACTTTAAAGGTATATTCAGGTTATGGATGTTCTCCATTCTGACTTGATAGTTTTTTAAATTCTTTAGAAAGAGCTCATAAAGCCTGTCTTTGTGAAAACTGCAATTGCTGGCATACAAAAATAACTGATTACGGGATCTGAAGGTAAATATCTGTGTACACAACAAAGTCATTTTTGCTTACTTAATTTATTTGATACTGACCTACAATGGTGCCTCACAAGCATATGTAGGAATGCATGTTGGATGCATCTCTGCTGACTAAATTAGAAAAAAACTCAGGGTCCTGCCTTTATCAATTACTTATCATGCAGATCTTGTGCTTGCTGAGGACAAGTTTGCCATGCAGAATACATTTTACTAAAAGAAAACTAAGGAAAGATTAACATGTTCCACTTTTCATCCTAGCAGGCTAGCGATGGACTGTGTTTTGATCTCGGAGCACTGAAAGTTTAGCAGTAAACAGTGCACCAGTGAATAGACTCATGCTGGTGTGATTCTGTAAGGAGGTTCTTAAGGTTGCCTGGGTGGACCCAGCAAGCTGTATTCTTCTCTCTTACATCCAAAGCCCACAAATACTGGCCTGCTCAAGATGCAAAAAAATATAATTGTGTTCCAGACCCAACTGTCCTCTCAAACATTCAATTAATTTCTTTAAACTACTTATATTATAAACAAATTTTTCAATATGTCACATCAAATTTTCTTGTGTTAGAATAGTGGAGAAAATTATCCAGCACAATAAAATCAGTGGTTTGATTAAAGTAATCCAAAAACATGAGAAATCATCTTTTCAAAAATGATCTTTTTGTGTTTCACTCATCCAATTGACTGTTATGGCTGAACAAATTCTTATTGACATATACATTCTATATTTGTGTTGGTATTACAGTAATACTAGAAACACTAATAATAAAATGTGTAACATGGGATAAATATATAAAAAAGATTTTAAAATTCAGTTTATTTTTATTTATTTTTGCTTTTGTTGTTCAGTTAAGTACTCAAAGAAGAACTGAAAATGCACACGATTCCAATGTGGCACCTTCACAATCATTCCTCCTAATTGGAATTTGGCACATAGCTAAAGTACTGATTTTCAGAAAAGAAATATCGCAGATTGAATGTTGGGATTCTGAAGTATTTTTGCTCAAATTAGTTTCACAGTAGATTGAGCAGATGGCCACCCTTGTTTGAGGCCATGCATAAAAACCAAGAGTGAACATAGGTTATGTCATACTTATTCCCTGAAAAGTACTGGGGCCTTTAGTGGGTTGTTGATGTTGTGCCTTTATCGTCACCAAAGTGTGAGAATTTAAAGTGAGTGGAAACACATGCCAGATGTGATGAATATCATACATTTTTATTTTGGAATGAGTTTTGGATTTGAGATTACCCTTACTCTTAATGTATTACTTTACAATGACAGTGTTATGCCTTTCGCAATGCAATGTTTAAAATAAAGCACAGAAGAGAGGAAATCCATATGAAATGATCGGTTTATATAAAATCTCCATTGTTAGTATCAAGCCAGCCTGATAAAAAATGACACTTCATTGAATTATATTTGTAGAGTTCAATTGCGGTGTGGAATTATGAATTGTTGCGTGTTCTGCATGTCATCAGTGGTGCGTAAGTAAGTGCTGAGATAAAGGTGAGGTCAGTAGGGAGCTGGAGGGACAGACAGAATAAGATAATTGCGACAAGCACTTCAGGTTTAACCAAGCCAGTGTTGTTAACAGTGGTAATTCAAAGAGCCCAAAAGTGTTGAACCCGAATGTATTAACATATTTCATTTTATTGACGAGTTTGCCTAAAACCATTTGATTCATGAGATCAATTAGCATGTATGATGCATACCCACAAAGGCCCTTTTAGTTTTTTTACTGGGTTTGGAGAGTGACAGAGACATGAAACTGAAGAGAATCTTTTCTACTGTTCACACGATGTACGTCCTGATTCATTATGTGCATTATTCTTTTCTTTTTTACTGTTTGCTAATTTCCGCTTGCACATGTGTGAGAATCGCCATGTTATGCAAGTATCAAATGCTAGTGGAGTTAGCATTCACTTGCAAAAATTTGCATTACAAATCCATCCTGTTCAGCTGTTCTATAATACTTTTTTAAGTAGGAAGTTTAATTTTCAGGGTATAGCTCAGGTATGGCTTGGTTCTTGGTGGCAGTGGAAAGGCGCCAATATTGTCTGAAAATATCTGGCACCATATTGTTTTTTCCATCCATCCATAAATCTTGTGATAAAATGTTTAAGATCAACTCTTTCGATTGCACCCCATGCAACGTCGATAAAGTGTGCACTGCTTTGAAGAAATAATTCTGGATCTGTTTAAAAGGAAAGGGGTCGGTGATATTTCCAGTAGCACTGAAAATATTTTTTGTTACTGCTTAAAACCTCCACTGTTGTATGACTTTGCTGCAGGCATTGTGTTTCTGTGTGAATAAAAGTAATCTCTTCAGAGGCACCAGCTTTTTCAAGCAGGAGTGAAAGGTGAAGGAAGATCAGTAGGACTCCCAGGATCAGTACAGCTTATGTCTGCCCACACCTACTCAACCCTCTTCATATGGTTCCAGCTGGTCTGAAGAACTACACATGTGTCTTGAATTGACATCTTTCATCGTCAATTAATTATATCATCATTGTTTAGGTCTATAAATACCAGTTTATTATTTTGGGAATGCCATTGTACATACGATTGTACAGCAAATAGCACATTACAGACATGGATTCTGTGAAGAAGTCAGCTAGGCTGAGCTTCCAATGAATGTCCAGTTACCAGTGCAGGTAGTTGTAGGAGCATTTATGGGAGGCCCATCCC